GTGTCTCCAGTACCTAACTGCGTGACCTTGCGTCTTTGGCGGAAAGAACGAGCGAACGAGCGCCAAGGGCCCAGCCAAGCAAAGCAAAGCAGAAGAGAAGCTGAGAAGTTGAGGAGAAGAACAGGACGAAGAAGAAGAAGATCCTGACCAAAAAGCAAAAGCAAAAAAAAGCAAAAGCACCAGCCCGCTTGCGCCCATCCCGCAAGGAGCCCGCTACATACCTTTGCCATAAGGTAGACAGGTACTTCGAACGGAGAGTACCATTGACTGGACCACTCACCTTCACCCTCACCCTCCCCCACGCCCACGCCCCTACATAACATCCGCCACGGCATTTTTTCTGTCCTGGTCACAGCGTGCGACTTTTTTTTTTTTTTTTCTCTTCCTCTTCTCTCTCGGCTGCTCGCATTTCCTCCTCCCAACCTGTTTTTTTCAAAGACCCATTTTCGGAGGGGGTCTCTGCACGACTATTAACGACGAGCGATCCAAACGAGCGAACGGCCGTCACATCCACACACGAGAGAAATTCCTTGCGACTTTTCTGTTGCATGCTGCGTGTTTGGTGAACTGCAACTTGCATACACACACACACACTGCATCACTTGGTACGCTACACCGCAATCAAGGTTACTGCCGTCGCCTACGTCCCCGACGCCGCTTTTGCGTCTTAGGTTGCTGTCACTTTGGCTTTGGCGAAAGGCACTGACTGCTTGCTCCGCATCGCCCGCCATTTCCTGAGGTTGCCAGGTCCCTGTCCTCACTCGCGTTGTCCACACACGTCAGTCGGTCGGTTTTGTCGAGGGCTTTTTTCGCTGCATCTGCCAACTGCCCCCCTTGCCAACCCAACCTGCATCTCCCTCACACATACGCATTACCGCCTCCCGCCTTTTCCTCCTCCTCCCTCCCGCTCCCCGTCGGCACATCACACGGGTTACTGGCCATCAAATCCAGTACCTGCCGTCACAGGGCCTACATCTCGAAAAAAAAAAAAAAATCACGAAAAAAAGACAATGAGCCAGCAACAACACGACATGTATCTCGACTACTCAGCCCCCCCGAATCGCTCCCCGAGCTCCTCGAGGCAGTATGCGGGCGGCTTCCAATCTGGTCTGTCCCTCCCTCGTCAGGCCCAGCGACCCTTCGATAACGGCTTGGGCTCTTCTGCCCTGTTTCCTTCCGACCGTCTTGGTTACAATCCTAGAGCCATGGATCAAATGTCTGCGAATGGAATGCCCGGAGGATATATGCTGGATAACAGCCAGGCCTGGAACTACAATGCTGGTGGTGTCGCGACCGTAAACGGCGCCATGAACGGCGCCAATAGACAGAGGAGCGTCAATCGCCGAGCGGCTCTCCCCACTGTAAGTTTTTTTTTTCTCTTTCCCTCATCTTTTCGCTCTCTGTAACGTAGTCGTGATCTGACCGCCTCTAAGAACTGGACCGATCAAGGACTCGGCATGCACGGCTCATATGGCTCCGGCCTCAACGGTGGAATGTCGAATGGCCTCCGCTATGATGGACAGAGTGATATGCGTCCCAGCTCGCAGACGGAAGAGCAGCTGATTCCTACCGCCATCGTCATCAAGAACATTCCCTTTGCCGTGCGAAAGGAGACGCTTGCCGCCGTCATGTTGGAAATGCACCTCCCCCAGCCCTACGCCTTCAACTACCACTTCGACAACGGCGTTTTCCGTGGTTTGGCCTTTGCCAACTTCCAGTCTCCCGAAGATACTAAGATTGTCATTGATGCCATGAACGGAATGGAGGTCCACGGCCGAAAGTTGAGGGTCGAGTACAAGAAGATGCTGCCAGAGGCCGAGCGAGAGCGTATCGAGCGCGAGAAAAGAGAACGACGTGGTCAACTCGAAGAACAGCACCGCGCCCCGATGCTGCACCAACAGCCGTCTCTGCAGACGCTGAACAGTGTTTCCAGCAACCCTCCCCGCGCTCCCCTCGGTACGTTGCGACGAAGCCACGAGATGATTTTGAACACCTGCTGACTGGCCGTGTGTAGAGGGAGATATTGATCTCAACGATCCCGAGACTCTGGACTTCTACACCGAGCTTACTCTTTTCAAGCGTGACACCAACCGTGAAATCCTCATCTTCCCCAACTCGGTCGCCCCCGAGCAGCGCCGTCGCATCCACATCCTCGCCCATCACATGGGCCTCGAGCATAACTCTGTGGGAGAGGCCGAATCGCGCCAGATTCACGTTGTCAAGCGCCAGCTTCCTTCACCCACAGCCCAGATCCACTCTCCTGCTGTCGGCTTGGACTACCACAAGAAGGGCCTCAGCAGGGCAGCCACCTTTGACTTCGCCGCTGATAGGGAAGCCCGGAGCGCTAGCACCAACTACTCCCATGCCATGGGCCGCCAAGGTCCGACCCTTGAGCTTCCTGGAAGCCCTGATGGAAATGGCCTGGCCAACCTCCGCGCTGCCAAGAGCTTCGCCGATCTGCGATCCTTCAGCCCTAGCCCGTCCGCATCCTCTTCGAGCTACTTGACGGCCATGAACGGCATCGGGAACATTCCCCAGTCAGGCAACTCGGGTGCCCGCTTCGGCGACTACAACGGAGGTGTCAACCAGTCCGCCGCGCTTGCCACTCCCAACCTGACGCCGACTTCCGGTACGGTCGGCACTCCTGGTACCGACAGCAGCCTTCTCAGCTCGCTTGGTGGACTGAACCTTGGCTCCTACGAGTCGGCTGCTCATTCTCAAGCCCGAAGCACCCCTGGTGCCATTGGAAGCCAGCGCCCCGGTGCCAACAGCGGCAACCGCAACGCACCCGAGAGGCAGCCCAGAGGCCCCGAGTGGGAAACTTCGGCCGGCTTCAGCGGCCGCAACCGCTCCAACGGCCACATGCAACGTGGAAGCGGTAAGTCCTTTTTCGTCTGCGCAGACTGGGATACATTGAGTCCAAGAAACTAACCCCACGGCAGACTCTTCCGACAACGCACCCCGTGCTGGAAGCGCCGGCGCATCTCGATTCCACTAGACAAGAACCATAATTTACCTCGCCGAGACTGCCACGACAACCATTACAATGAGGAAACGATTCATGACTCGCGACGCATAGAGACTACAAACGACATTCGACGAGTTCACCGTAGCTCACCGCAGCTCGGTAATCGACAAAACCCCCCCCTGTGTTATACCTACCATTGCTTTTCATGATGGACACTCTCCCCCACAACCACACCCGTATTGCTTATAATGATGATTTGTTGGACACGAGCCTTTGGCAGCGTCATGATCTTTCGCTCGGCCGTCTCGGATTTGGTGGATAGAAGAATTCCCAGTGTCGTGGCGGCATCCAACTTTTGGATTCACGGCACCCGCCCGGCAAGGAAACCTTGGCTCATGGCTGTTTCAACGACCAGAGAAGGATGAACGGAAAAGAAACTTGGATACAAGAAAATACCTGATATGGGCAACCATTTCGACATGGCAAAAAAAGGCCCATGGGCGGTCCCCCTATACCCTCCTGTTTCCCCGCCATACCTCCTTTCATGGCGCGCGGGAGCATATGAACCACCCTTGACGATGAATACGCTGTTACGACCTCTTTATGTCTAGATAGCTGTACCAGCATGCTCGACAAAAGCCGCTTCTTTTTTGGATGACGAGACCATGCCCTTCGGCGACCATGACTATACCCACCTAATTACCACGGTTCGGCAAGTTTTGATTAAGACACGACCCAAGACTGATGTTGCCTTCGGACTTTCTTTTGACGGCCAAGATTGGTTGTTTGTCAGCTTCAGAAAACAATGCCAGCTCTTTATTGGGCTCACCGACGAAAAAAAAAAAGTTTGATTTGGTTGTAGGCGTCTTTATGCGCCGGCATTTCCTGATTTCTTCGTTATTTAGTCTTCATGTCCCCTCAGCCCTCAACCCTGCAAACTGCTCTCTGTGTTCACTTGCAGAGAGTTGCCTATAAAACGAACACTCCTGTTCCATCATGGATGGTCTTTCGGGACGACTTTGGCAGGGACATTGGCGTTGAGGCTGCATTGGGGGCCATTTGGTTGTGTTTCCTGGTCTTTGACCTGCTAGAGTTTTCCCGTGTTTTTTCTTCTTATTTTCGTTGGATTTACATGCATTTGCGAGCATCTGAGGTAGGATGACAGGACGAGAGATCAGTGGACGATCCAATGTCGATATTTTTTTCCAGGAGAACAACACACGAGAGAGATGAGACGGCAGATGCGAGGACTGGCCAAACTATTTGCGTGTAATGTGCCATGGGGCACAAAGATAATTTCGATGAAGAGAGGATGATGATGTACCGAGAGAGAGCCGCACACATTAGGCAGCTATGCTATTTTGCGCCTTGTCAAATATAACTGCGTTTGATTTGATACCGAGTCTCATGCCAAGGTGCTTATTGTGAGGATGGCAAGCGAATGGGACAAGTGAATAGGACTCGAGACCTCTTTTTTGTTATCGTGTTGTTCAGATCTACCGCCGGAGCTTGAGGGAAGAGAAGCTCTGTACAAATCACATGAGTTGGAGGATCCTAGGTCAAGGATGTCTTCTCACAAAGCAAGGCACAGTTCATGTTCTGTTTCACAGCATCTCATGACATTTCGGTGGGTGGATGAGCGAGCGGTAAACATGTTTTTCTTTGTTTCATGAAACCGGGGGGTTGTGATGTGCATGACCAGATCGTGGGTAAATGATGAGGTACGGACAGGAAAGGACCAGCCGGATTCTGAAGACTGGTCTCTTAATAGTGTCAAGAATTTTTATTTTTATTTTTATTTTTTATAATTTTTTTTGAAAACGGGGGACAGCCAGCTATCTGAACTCGGTCTGTTCTACCATCACACCGAGATATTGTTCCTTGTTCACGATGTGGCTCATTCTCCCGCTCGTACTGGTGAGAACCCCCAGATATCATGGAGATACATACATACACTTACACGCTTCCAACCCTAGGTCAATTTTGCTGTGTGGTTTGCACATTGTCGAACTTGGATAAACAACGAGGTCGATCAGCCGACACCACCATCGCCAGACGTTCCGGGGGGGAGTCGAAGGCGGAAGCGAAGGAGGAAGGGGCGTAGAATGGCCGACCATCTCCAAGAGGATGAAGCCAGCCATCGTGGACCATCATTGACAACTCCCCCGGATTCACCACTACCACCACCATCACCATCACCACCCGAGCCAGACGCGATCGTTGTGCAAATCACCACAACGCCTCCTACACCCACCTCACCACCGCCTCCGCCTCCATCTCCATCATCGTCATCCACATTATCCTGGCCCTCATCACCCTCATCACCTTCCTCTCCCTTGAGATCAGAACCATCACCACCAACACCAACATCACCAACACCAACATCACCAACACCGACATCACCAACCAAAATGGCGCTGGCGCACGCACTGCGGCACTCGCTTCCTAATCTCCTGCACAAACCGCTGCATCCACTGCGCCCGCTTCTTCTCCAATAGACCGGCCTCCAAAACCGGCCCGCTCTTCATCTCCCGCCTGTACATGAGAGATAAGGCCTTACTTAGCTTGCGTCCCGAAGACGCAGAGTACGGCTGGCTCGTGGCGGAGAACGCTGCGAAGCGGAGGAAGAATCGTGGTGGGTCACGGGCAGGTAGAGCGAGGGTGGTAGCCAGGGCGAGGGCAGAACGGTCGGCGATGCTCATGGCGAGGGCCGTGTTGGAGGATTCGGTGATGGCTTCGCCGCCGTGGCTCATGCTGTGGCCTTCTAGATGGGAGTATGTTGAGCAGCGGCAGGTGGGAGCGTACCCAACACGAGGAACACCAGTCAAGCCAGCGTCTGGACGACACGTTCGCTTCAGCATTCCATCAATCAAATAGTCAGGCCGCAGTATATATACCCCGACTCACAAACACCATGTAGATAGATTTTCAGCATTCATCTGCAATCAACTAGGACAAGGGCGTTGCATCAGTATAAGGAAATCAAATGTGTGCCCCCATTACAGTTTTATTCATCTACCTAAGCCCATCAGCTAGTGCCTTGTCCGCGCGTGCCTTCTTGGGAACCGAAACAGGAACCTCGAAATGTTGTACATTGTGAGTGAGTGCCAGACTCGAGGCGAATCTGCGTGGGGTTTTGAGAGTGCAGGCACCCAGGTTGAGTACCCTGCAATCATCAAGATCAAGGCGCTCATGGCTCATGCGCCATGTGTTTTTTTTTCCCAGCACCATATCTGTGAACGTCCAGGACAGAATCGCGTGCAACTCTGAACCGTTGCATGCCTCTTCCTTCCTTTGTTTCCAGATGTTGTGAGAAGATTATTCAACCTCTGGCACACCTGCATCATCGTCGTTTCTGACCAGTGTTGTAAGGAAAGCAGAAAAAAGCATCCCTTGAGACCAAACCACTCCCAAATAACCGTCCTGAGAAAAAAGCCAACCGGGAATATCAACGTTGCTGTCGTTGTTGTGCAAGACGCGGGATTTATGCCTCGAGCGCCTTGGCCTTCTTCTTTTGCTCGACCTTGAGGAGGAGCGCGCGGTTGATGTGTGGCAGGACACCACCAAAGGCGATGGTGGCACGAATCAGGGTGTCAAGTTCCTCGTCACCACGGATGGCAAGCTGGAGATGGCGGGGGGTGATACGCTTGACCTTGAGGTCCTTGGCGGCGTTCTACAAAGCGCGCGTCAGCGAAAGATTTAGGCAGAGACCCCGATGAGTCAACGGAGTACGCCGGGAGGGATGGAAACTTACGCCTGCAAGCTCGAGGACTTCGGCAGTCAGGTACTCGAGAACGGCGGTGACATAGACGGCAGCCTTGGCGCCGACGCGCATCTTGTTCTGGGTGTTGGCCTTGAGGAAACGCTTGACACGACCACAGGGGAACTGGAAAGTCCGTGTTAGCAGACTGCGACCGCTAGCTTGAGAAATTTTCATTGCTGCGTGCGTTCCGGGCGTTGCGCCATCATTTTCGAGCCCAACGACATCGTGCACGCGACCGCATCCCGTACATCATCCAGTACTGCCTCAACGGCGGAAAAGTGATGGCGCAGATTCACCGTTGCAGGTGAAAGATGCTGCGCGACACGAGATGATGGCTGGAGGACGATTCTAATCCTTGTTGCGGTCGAACGCGTCGGAATCGGGTGGTCGTCGGTCGATGCTTGATATCGGGGCCCAAAAATCGACGTGCAAAACCGGCGCATCATCAGCAGAGCGCAACTTACCTGGAGACCAGCGCGAGCGGAGTGGCTCTGCTGCTTCTTGGGGACTTCGGCCGTAGCCTTGCCTCCGGACGTCTTTCCGCCAGACTTTCCCTTGCCGCCAGCCATTGTTGATGTTGATGCGAGGACGCGAAAAAAAGGTGTAATAAATTCGAAAGTCGAATTTGGGATCCGATGATTCGATCAAAGTGGGGATGCGCGTGTCGAGTAAAAGGTTTGAGAAAAAGGACTGTTATCGAAGAAGACCGTTCCGGTGTTGGGTTGGAGTTGGAGGGGTTGTCGAGGGAAGCTTTGGTGGGAGGTGGATGGAGATGGCAGAAATTTAGTTCGAAGGCTGACAGTGATTGTTGTTGTTCGTCGGTGACGGCAGGAGAAGAGGACAGGGGGGCGAATGGGAGCGAGGGAGCTTCGGTGCAAGCAAGAAAATCGCGGTCGGTGTGGTGTGGGAGGTGCGAGGAGGGGGGGGGGGGAGCCGTCGATGGGTGTGCCGGGTGGTGCTGGTGCTGGTGCTGGTCGTCTTTGCGGTGCTTTTCGTTTCTGAGCAAGTCCACGGCGCGGCCTGTGTCTGCGTGTCTGCTTCTGCTGCTGCTGCTGCTTCCAATGGAAAGGTATGACCACCTGCGCACCTCTGCTGCTCTGCTCTGCTGTGCTCTGTGCTGCCACGGCCCACGCTGCCTCCTTGCTCAGAGTTTTGCTGGTGAGCTGTCGCCTGTTCCTATTCGTCGGTTGGAGCTCTGTTGTGGATGGCTGTGTTATGGCGCTAGCGTCGAGTGCCCAGAAATTGTTGACAAAATGTTATTGCCGGAATGTTGCGAGAGCTTGCTCGCGGCTGCCGAGGTTTACCCGAGCCGCATCGCAGGAGCCAGGAACCTTGAGGTGCTTGGTTGGCCCGGGCGGGCTGTGAGTGAGTCCGATGAGCGAGGCGAGAGAGCCTGCCGCCCAGGACGTAAGTACATGGCACTCGCCATGGCAGAACCGTCAGAATGCCAGAAATGAGGCAAGAGTAAGGAGACTGACCTGCTCAACTCGAGCAAATCACCTGGAATCCAGGAGACGCCGTGGCGGCAAAGAAGCACATACCTTGAGCTCACCTCCAAGTGAGGCTCTGCGACGGATGCCAGCAGCAGGCTTTGGCCAAGCTCGCTGCACTGCAGCGGGATGATCAAGCAAAGCTCAGAGAAGAATGAGAGGTAGCCTTCCGATCAGACTGGGCCCAAATACAGCCTGTCTTGAGCCGTGGGGGTGAGTGTTGTCATTTTGACATGATCGTTGCTGATGTTGACCTTTGATGTCGACGCAAAACGCAGACCGAGAAAGCGTCCCGCACGAGGCTAGTGACAGCCTGTGGCGCTCAAGACCACGTGACGTGGCTGGTGCTTCATCGGGCCTGGAGTCTCACGTGCAATGGTTAGGTACCTACGCAGTCACCTTTTGATCTCACTTCCATCAAGGCTCAAGCTCAGGCCCCGCCTGCATTCGATCGGATGACCGGCCCCATAAAACACCGGGAAGATCTGGCACTGGAGCTCGGGTCTCATCCGGGATCCACACCACCAAGTTCACTCTCTCTCAAGAAGTGAGCTCTCATCCTCCAGCCGGCACCAGCTGTCCGAGTCGGTATCGTGCATCAAGTCATCTAGCAAGTACCTTGTGCTCCGACCGATTCTCATTCATGTCAATATTGTCTGAGGTAACTACTTTCTACCATGATCTTGTCCTACTTTGCACCTTAATCTTCAATGAATTCGTTATGAAGCTCCATCTCATGTTGCAACGAAGATAGTACTATCATAGAAACTTCTTGCTCGCTATCTCGGGTCCTGCCTCTTGGTACTCAGCACTCGTGACACACATCCCCTCGAACGTGGAAAGTTCACTCAACATGGAGCCCCCAACCCAAGCGGAATACGCTCTATTTCGAGGAGAGATGACGTTGATAGTAGTCCCCTCTCGAAATAAACGCTCTAGGTCATACTTCAACCTAGCGCCGAACCCAGGGAACGAGGTGTTCCCGCCAGCCTACACCATCGTCAATAACACGGCTACTCATGCAATAGCACAACAGAGACAAGTACTCACCAGCAGGATATTCTGACAGAGTCTGTCCCGAAGACCCTGGTCGCACTTCATGATAACACCAAAGGCATCATGCTGCAGCCCACCAACATCAAGCCCCAACATGGAAGGGTTGAAAGACACCTCACCCGCACGCAAACCTAGCGGGGTGTCAGGCTTGACTTTCATCCCATCAGGCAGATCCCAAACCTCTTCTTCCCCTCCGGCATCCACCATCTTCTTCCACCGCATGACGCCCTCCTCAAAGTCCTTCGCGACGCGGCATCGTTCAGTCTTGGCCAGCCAGAGAACGTCGTCCCAAGCCCCGTTTGACGGAAGCTCGAGACCGACTTCATTCGTGAGAGCTTGCTGTAGCCAGTCGTCTATCGCCTGTCCCGCAACGTCATGCCGACGGGCATGGTACCGGATAGGCGCGTGGTCGTAGACTGGTAAAGTTGCGGTTCCCGCGTAGCCCGAGTCGATGACGAGAGCGGTGGGTATGTTGGCCGCGTAAGTTGACAATACAGCCGGCGAGGCAGTGTAGTACGCCGGTGCGGAGAAATACTCGAATATATGGGACATCATGGTCATCCTAGTTCATGGATATTTAGTCTCTTTGCAGTATCAGAGAGACTTTTGGAAGTTACCGCTGGCCTGGAGAGAGGTAGACTGGTTCTGTCATAATAATCGGGTGATAGGAGAGCGGTATGGAGGCTCCCAACTCTGCTAACGCATAGCTCCATATCCTATCTGTGTCTTGCCAGTTCGTAACCACGCCACCTGCTCTGATCGGGTATAGAGGTCGGTTGAGGCCTTCATAATTCGGATTGACGGCGTGGCCAACGTTGTAAGTGGTCTGTGATATGGTCAATGAGTCTTGTGCCTAGAGGAACTTGCATGGGTTACGGAGATATCATGCCAACTAACCATCCAAATATCAGTGTTCCTATTCTCGTTGGTCCTAGTAGGATATTGGATCGCAGTTGCTAGTTTGAAGTCAGACGGCCGAGAACCGTTACAGTTGGGGTCTTTGTCTTTAGTCACGGAATACTCTGAGAGGCAGCCGGTCGCCGCCGAACCCAGCCTTGGTGAACCCGGACCTGATAAATGTTTAGAGCCTGGGTCACTCATTCAGGATCACGCCTTCGTTCGTCAGGCAGCACTTACCCGCTATCAATGACAATGGCCCGTGTTGACATGTTTGACCTAGACGACATGTTAGATCGGACGCCGGATATCTCACTTCATGAGATGTTTGGGGCAAGCTTATGAAAGAGCTCGGCTGTGAGGATTTGACGCTCAGGCATCTTGGGCTGTATACCATTGCTTTTCGAGGCTGAGGTGAGCTGGTGCCGATCTGCATATGCAGGCGGCACTCATTCAGGTAAGGTAAGCATGCATGTATGCTTGGGAATGCCGCTTATTGTTCGTTTTCATTCAACTTTCATGATTGAATGAATCGAAACGTGAAGGCCCACATCAGGGAAGCTCATTTGCCATGACCCGGCAAGGTTGTTGTAGAGAGGGGTTCTTCCATTTGACTACTGGTCAAGTCTCTAACTACACTACTCTCCTCTCTCTTCATGAAGCCTCCAAAGATCTTCCAGGTTCAAACTTGGTAAGCATCAAAACTGATTGCCATGGTCATTGCCAGCGCCATGTCGTACTGTGAGACCCAACAGGCTTCTGGGCAGGTATCGCCTGCAATCATACACTCTGCACGCCATGGTATTCGCCGTGGCAAATCTGCCAAAATAAAAAAGACCATGTGATCCCAATTCCACGCCAGTCGCATCCAATACGCTTGCAATCAATAAAACAGTCATCGCTTTCACGGATCCTCTTTCATTACCAAACTCCGGGTTCGCGGTCGTTGCTGGACGCCTTTGCGTCATACGTATTTGGTGTTCTTGATAGCGTTTAATACATCATTGTCATAATTTGCTGCTGCTGTTGTCGTTGCCGCTGTGCGTTTCTCTCAGCGAGGATTCTCTTGACTCGTCGTCGGCCGGTGTTAATGAAGTGATATTGCGGCGGGTACTCCTGTTCCACGGCTTGAGGATATGTCCAGTACACGAGCCCGGCGAGAATCATGTTGAAGAATCGGGCTGCGGGAGTGAGTCGGGGCTTCTTGCGCGCAAAGTGTCGCCATTCGAGCGTGAGAACAATGTTGCCTAGAACGTTGAGTAGGCGGAAGAACCTTTGCACTTGTTAGCTCCTCAGAACGTAGTGAAATAGTCATCCACACTTACATGTTCAAGACGATGAAGACCAGAGTTACTGTAACGCGTCGGTCAAACAATCCAGCTATGCCGTCTTCCACATCCTTGACGAGGACGTAAATTGGTAGACACCAAAGACCGAGTATCGCTGTCTCGAGGATCAGCGAAAAGTGATATGTGCGCTTGTGTTCGCCTCTGACAACGAGGAGAGCCAAACACCACCACAGTAGGACGAAAGCAACCTAGTAAAGTTAGAAACCCCGGCTTTTTAGAAAAAGCGAAAGTGATATCCGTGAACTTACAATAGATGGCACTAGGACGAGAATCTCGTCTCTAAAATACCTCCAGCAAAGCGCACCAGCGACGATACCGAGACTCAACTGAATCCAGCCCAAGACAAAATACACCAGCAGGACATTGTTGTAATGATTATAGCAGCCTTTGTGAAACTCGGGCTGGTTGGGCGCCGAAGCAGTGGCGACGGGATACCCGCACCAGCGACAGATCCATACACTCGCGTAATTACCCAGCGCCACCTTCTTGCCTACTGCCAACTCATTCTTCTGGTAGGCGCAGTCGACACATTTACTGGCGAGAGGATACCGCGGATGGTTATAGTCCGCCCAGAGCAAGCTGCCGCGCGTGGGATCGTACTTTAGGCAGATGTAGCAATGCGCCAGTAAAGCGAGGCGGAACTGCTCGCCAAAAAGGTCGCGAATGGTCTCCTTTGTGAGAAAGTTACGGTAGAAGCGACACGTGCGGCGTAGGTTCTCGAGCTCGCCGAACTCGAGGTAGTCGATGATCATGAGATGCAGCTCGGGCGGGAGATCCATGAGACTATTCCCTGTCTTAGGGCCTAGTATACGAGAGCGCCGGCGTGAGCCCCGGGGGTCGAGCGAGGCCACCTTTTCAATGACTGAGTCCCGGCGTGAGCGGGATGTGCGAGGTCGGGCGCTTCGTGCGCTGGTAGGTCGTATTGAGCCGCCATCTTTGCAGGACAATTGCTGCTCGAGTTCGAGGGGCAGCGGTGACTCGAGGGGTGAGGGCAGATACTGAGCTGGTGAGGCTGCGGCTGAGAGGTTGAGAGGTTGGGGCGCCGGTGAGTTGGGGTGGACCTGAGGCGCGAATGATATGGCCGACGGAGTAAATGAGGGGGAAGCCAGAGGTGCGCTGGGTGAGTGGACTATGGCGGGCGGGGGTGACAACGGCGACACAGGCTGAGACTGAGGCCCAGGGACGGTGAGGGTTTGAGTGGTGATGTTATTCGTTAAGGTCTGCGCATTTGATGAAGACTCGGCGGGGTAACCGCCGGTGAGAGCCTGGAGGGTTGCGTCATCCTGAGTGGGGGGTTGGGCTGATGGGCCCAGTGTCAAGGTCGGAAGCGTATGAGTGTGATGTCCATGAGCTGAGTGAGGGGGCAGCGGCGAGGTCGGCTCCGTCTCTGGTGTGTTTACAGTCGGTGTGAAGGGCGGCGGCAGTGGTGATGTGAGCGGAAGGGCCGCATAGTGAGATTGCGAGGCCGTGTGAGCCGGAAGTTGAGCTTCAAGATCGGACTCAGTGGTCGGTGCGGGAGCGTGAGCGGGTACGGGAGTGTCCTCGGCGCTGGTGGACGAAGCGGTTAAGGATGGGGCCGATGAAGCCGCGGATGACTGAGATGGTTGCTGATCATCTTGGGAACCCTGAACCTTTTTGCGGACGCCGCGGGCAGCGCGGGAGATGCCCCTCCCGAATGAGCTGACAACATTATCCATAGTGAGCCCAGGGCGGGAGATGGTCGAACGATGTTGTCGGTTAGTTGCACCGTCGACGGGATATGTGCCCGCTGTACGTACGACAGCGAGGAGAAAGAGAGATCTGGCGGGTCGGCTGGGCGACCGGGGATCCCCTCGTCACGGAGGGTTGAAACTGCTTGGAACCCGGGGTGCTACAGAGAGGCCGATGTGAAACGGGTCTGGAAGCCGCGCCGGGAATCCTGGGCGAACGTTGGGGGCGATGCCGAGGGACTGGGCAACCTGAGGTGACAAGAGTGTAAAGTGAGTGTGAACGTCAGCGAACGGTGTGGTCGAATGAGAGCGGGGGCGGAGGTGAGTTGAGTTGAGAGCGTTCGAGTGAGATGTTGGTTCAAGCAAGTCTTAGCCAACGTCTGCGATAGTAGCCTCGGTGGCCGTGAACCGGTAGGACATTGTTTTGATTCAGGATATGAGGGAGGGGGTAAAAGTTGGTAAAATAAGAGAAGGAAGAGAGGGAGGAAGAGACGGGTGCGAGTGGAGGAGGTCGAGGTAGTGGTGAGTGATTGATGATCGATCCGTGATGTGGTAGTCTGCCCGCTCGTGGGTTCGTTTCTTTTCTTCTTCGTTTGTTGCGTCCCTCCTCGTGACCCTTGTGACCAACGGACCTGATTCGATCTGGTCTGATGCAGGGTTACTTTCTAGACTCCTTGGATCCTTGAATCTGGGGTTCCGTTCGAGTTGGGATGCAGCAGGCCAGGCGCAAAATCTACCAAGGCGTGCCAGGCAGAGAAAGGCAGAGAGTGGACGACAGGAGTCAGAGTCAGTCAGTCGCTGCGCGCAAGACTGCAACTCTCAGTCTCACCTTTTTAGAGCGAGCTGCAACGGATGGGCTGGAATGGGCGTCCGCCACGCGGCGATCGCAAGGGGGAGTGGGGGCGGTGGTTGGGTTGTCCGGTGCTTGTGCTTGTGCCTTTGCAGACTGCCCACAGGCGGGTGCGCCAAACCGGCGTGGACGCGGTGGGAATAGTGCGCCCTGGGACCAAAGAGAGGGGGAAAAGAGAAGACGCCGGCCCCCTCGACTTTCGACTTGATGGGTACACAAAGGTGGTGCTGTGGTCGGGTGACCAACAAAGTACCTCGGTTGTCGAGTGGCCCCCGGGAGTTGGCGGTGGGGTTCCGGTCTGTGAGCACCCGTCGAATGTGTTCGGGCGTCAATAATCAGTTGTGGTAAGGGCGTTTGCCGGCCAAGCCAAGGGATATATCGTAGTTCGTTCTCTCTCTGGTGGGAATAGCAACAAGTATGAGTAGTAAGGTGTAGGTAGGGTGGACAAGAGAGAATAGACAACAGGCAAGTTGGTGAACGAGAATGCTTGGAAACAAGGAAACCAGCCAAGTGAAGAAAAGATGAATCCCGAGACCTTGTCTGGATGGATGGCGCTGTTCATCCGCACAAGCCATGGAGGACTCTCCTTGTATTAAATCCGCCCGTGTTGGCTGCTTTACGTCTACACATAGATGTTGGTTGACTTTTCCACCTACACAGACAATAAGGAGGCAACGCCAAGCCAGGAGGCCTGCCTGCCCGGCACATCACCCTCGGCCGCTCAGATCAGCCTCAAGCTTCGTCAAAACGTGGCCAAGAAGTCCCCATATCCATCTTTAGCAACGCTCCGGGCTTGATGGTGTGTTGGGCTTTGGGTGTGTCGCATGTTTCGAATCCTAGGGGTTTCCGCACCGCCCTAGCTTCCTAGCATACAGTAGCTCTTAGCAAGGCACGCATGCTTACCAGCATGATTTCTAGCATAGCACGCATAGCATAGCTTGCTTCCAGGATGTCTCTTCCTAGCTCCCGGTGCAACTTTGAGAGTGCTGGACCGGCATCTGGGTCGGGTACGACTCGCGATTTCCCTCAGTCTAGTACAATTCTCGTCATTTAAGATTCTGTCAAGCATATTGTTACTTTATTTTTGCGACGAGGGTGGTGACGCCGTTGCGCCGAAAATGCTGATTCACGAGGAGGGAAAGCCTAAGAGCATGGGCGCACTCTATCAGTCACCTCATCAAGACATCAACTGACAACAGCACGGCTTCACAATCATGTGTTGGTCAGGGAAGCTCCTAGTCGATTTGATTCAAATTCTCCGTGCTTCACCAGCCGGTCTGAAGCGACAGACGACACGGCATGCCTCCGCTGTCCAGTGCTCAACCGGCTACCCACATTCGTCGCCGGAACCGATCCGTACAGTCACTTCAACCCTGCAAAGCCCACAACATCTTTGCTGGCTTGTTTCTTATGTGGACAACGCCTAGACCTTTTCCGCAGCCTTACGGACCTCCACTTCCTCAAATGTAGCATCGCCGTCCATTCCCGCCTCCTTGGAAACTTTGGCATCCTTGCCGTCAAACAGGACGGCGATTTCCTCGAGAGTAGGTCCCTTGGTCTCCACAAAGAGGAACCAGATGCAAACCACCTCAATGACCAAGATGACGATGTAGACAAAGTAGAACTTCCAAGCCAGCGACGAGAGCCCGATGGGGTTGACGTATTGGTTCAAGACACCAGAGAGCGCTGTCACTCCCAAGCAGATCGCCAGCCCCTTGGCTCGTATGCTGAAGGGGAGAATTTCGGAGCAGTAGGCGACCGTCAAGCCAGGCCATGCGAACCCAGCGACTCCGTAGAAGAGGAAAATCATCGCCAGAACCGCGGACCCGGCGTCTTTATTGCCTGTTTGGGCATACACTGCAGAGCATCTAAGAAGGTCAGCATAGTCTAAGTTGCTGCTGCGATATTGCGGGGGTCCATACCCAGTCCAGACACTGAAAACAACGAGCATCCCGACAGCAGCGATAAGGAAGAGAATTCTCCGGCCGAGTTTCTCGATGAAGTAGACCGAAAAACAGATTGCAACGAGGAACGACCAAATTTGGAGACCACCATTGAACAGAGACTGGGAATTGGGCTCGTCGATACCAACGGAACTCAGAATGTCATGAAGGTAGTACGAGACCAGGCCATTTCCTAACAGAGTCGGTGTGTCAGTCAAGTAGAGGTTCTCCAAGGGATGTGACCATACCTGAACACTGAGAGAAAAATGAGGTGAGCACAATGAGCAACAGCCTCTTGCGGTTTCCTGGTGTCTGGAAAAACACCATCCAACCCGTCTCCGCCGCCAGCTTCTCAAGCCTGATGGTCTCCTGGATCTCGGCGAACTCAGCTCGGACGAAAGGGTCATCGCGATTTCCACTTGCGTGATACTGCGCGAAATTAAATCGTCAGTCTTGAGGATACACCACCTGAAGTGAACCTGCTATCTCCTCACCTTAACCAAGATCTCAAAGGCCTCATTAGATCGGTCCTTGGAGCACAGCCAACGCGGACTCTCAGGCAACGTGAATATGCCTATCAGTTGGAGCACCGGCATAAGGCATTGTAGAGCAACGGGAACACGCCACGAGACTTGGCCCGTGTACTTGATCGTTCCGTAGACGGTCCAGGCGGCGACGATACTTCCGACATACCATAGGCTGTTGTACATCACAGTAAGTCTACCTCGATGCTGAGGATAGGCGAGTTCCATGATCAGCAGCGGACCGGCTCCGATGGAGATGTTGGACCTAAGATGGCCAGTGATCAGTGGTCACATCAGCAATTCTGGGCATGAATTCTTGCTTACCCGAACCCCACGAGGAAACGACCCCCGATAAACATGCCTTCGTTGACGCTTGGAACGGCTGGCCGATGTTAGATTTGATCTTATGCATGCAGAAGCAAAAAGAGCATGAGTGCCTACATTGGATAATGACACCGACGACCAGGATGATGATGCCGATAGCTGTCGCGATACGACGGCCATAGAAATCTGCAATGTACGGGGCTATCGTCAATGGTTATGTTAGTAAATGTGACGGTCTCGCTTGACTGGTGTCCCCAACTGACAGAAGAATAGTGCACTGAAGCCACCAATATTGACAATCGCAGTGAATAGACCAAGAGTGGAGCCGGAAGGGTGGTTAAAGTCTGGAGATCCGGAAGTCAGTAGACTCTTCAATGAAGTAGTGACAGATGTTCTGGCACATACAAGCTCGCCAATTCTCGATGGTCTGGAGACCATTCAAGAGACTCCCATCATATCCGTTGATAGTGGCGCAAAGCATCAAGATTGGCATCCTGATATAGAGGCTCCGCAAGCCGGCGTGCTTATACCATGTTACTCGTGGAACTTCGAGATGTGGAGGCTCCTCAACATAATCTGGATGTTCCTTGGTTGAATCCATTATGCTCCTGGGGGTACAGCACAGGAAAAAGTTGAAGACAGGTTCCTCGAGTTCTTGGCGTCAGATCGTTGTGGTCCAGGGCCGCTATGTTGAACGATGATGGGATTCTGGGAACTGAAATTACATTAGATCTACCCATGCCTTTTAAATAAAGATGAGGCAACATGAGAAAGATATCGAAAACAAAAAGAGCCTGCAACTACTTACTGGCATGTCCAAAAGGAGTTAGCCATGATCACCATCTACCGTATTCCTGGGAGGAGACCCCAGGTTCGTGGGGTGATTCGGTAACAAAAGACTGGGGTAAACCAACCGGGCACATGTCTTTCACTCGTTGCGGCCGAATTTGCGGCCTCTGCACCAATCATCTGGCCGTTTTTCCGACATCCAGGAGAATGGAATTGTCACCCTTCTGGGGATGCGGGATGAGTGCGCGCCTGGGCTTGGTGGTACATTCACCAGCCTCTGCGATGAGGGTAACGGCATCCGAGCTAACCAGGAGCTAGGTCCGGTACGATATTAGCGCTTCATTCGAGGGGAAACTGGCACTGGAAATGACAAACCCGATCGAACGGAGAATGAGAAACATGATTGGCTTTTCCCCCGAGGCCTGTGAAAGTTTGTCCGCTACATAAAGAGGCCTTACCAAACCGCACATAGCATGGCTTCCTGCATGGGCCACGAAGGCGCCCTCAGATTAGAATGTGATCTGTACTTTCACATAGTGAAGCAAGTACTAGACTCAGATTAATGTAGCTTTGAATCGGCGAAGATTGTTTTTTCATCATCTTATGCCGTATCATCTCAGAACTCTTTCCCGTTCGTTACGACATGTCTCGAATGGCTGCATACGGATTTCAACATTGACGGAATTCTTCCCACTAGTCAGGCTACAGAACTATTGATGAAAACTAAATTAGGTAGTCGAACTCATGAAGTTGTAAGCTATAGGCATCAGAGGTATCTGTCTGAAACGAAGTATACCTCCCTTGCTGTGTGAGTTCTTGTGTTCGAGCCGAAAAGCTGTCAATGTCGTAGTCCATGCCCGATCTCACATGTTGAATATCCTTTTCTTCCAGAGGCAGTGAGTATTCGGTCAGAAAGCGCACCATCCAGTCATCAAAATCATGCGTTCTGGAGTCGCCTGACAACAGGCAAAAGTTTTGAAAAGTTGCAAGGCGTTCGATCTGTCATCAGATTAGCTTTCGTACACATGGGAGTCGGCCACGTGGACGGGAACAAACCATTGGCGCCGTGTTTGGCCAGTACTGTCGCAGTTCGACAATGGCCGCAAAGTTCGCATTCAGGGCATCTCTGGCACTCTTGAGATCTGCTTCCTCGCCGAACAAGAGTGTATGCAGGAGCACAGATGACGAGACTACCGCCATGTGCCCGACAGTAGGATAGACGACTTCACATCCCTGCCTACCCCGAGCGAGTTTGACAAGATTGCTGTAAGCCGAGGCGTGGGACTTACACCTGCTATGATACATACTAGCCGCGGGAGATCTCGGCTCTTGAGAGCTGAGGAACCTGAAGTAGAGCAGGACGGAGTAGTGATGATACCCAAGATGAAGGGCGACGTATGGCCCTCCAGTTCCTCTGTTGATATGCCAGTCCAGCATTTCCTCTTTCCATTTGATGTTGTTGGGCAGGGAATCTTCCCAAGTTTCTAGCTGCTGAGACAAAGAGAGAATGCTCCTCTCGATATCCTCCGCGGTCATGCTTCTGTTGACACTATGACGATTGAGCTGCTGTATTGGGCCGAATAGCTGTACCAGAGAGATCTTGAAGGCCCATATTCCTGGTTGCCATGGCTTCTCTAATTGCGTTGCTGTAGGATCTAGGGATTCAAATATGGCTTCGTCCATGGGCAGATCAACAGCAAGCTCTGTATCTCGAATCTGTGGCAACAAGCGGAGGCTTGAAGACGACCATCGATCTGCCATGAAGAGCGACCACCATATCCTCCTGTGAATCTCGAGATCGACTACCCGTGTCCCTACTGTGGAGGTGCCAAGCTGCATAATGTGAGAGAGACTGATGCCGGTGCCTTGTCCACTGTGAGCAGATAGATTCAAAGAAAGACATGGTTCTACCAATATATTTGTACAGGTTCGGTGTCGGTCACTTACGGAAGAACAAAGCTTCTGAAGAAGGGTTCAGGTGAGCTGCGCAGAGGTTCGCGATGAGGATACACGCCTGAATGTTTTCGACGCACACATTTTCCAAATTCGCCAGCAACAAACGCTTAGATTCCTCTATCAAACCGGCCTCGAGGCGCCGGGTCTCGTCGTCGAGAGCGAACCTCGAGCCCATACTGCAAATGGCGAAAAGGAGAATCCTGCTAATGGACCCATCTTGAACCTCCTGTCGAAGTTTTGCTGGGTGAAACAAACTGTGTGGTCGATTGTGTAGCTTGTCCAGATAGTAGTCGACGAGAAGTACAGCCGTGTGAAGCGGCAAGTCTGTGCCTTCGGTCTTTGACGAAGTAGGCGTGGAGGTGTTTGACAATGAAGGCGTCGGTTCAGGCCTTGGGAGCAACGGCAGCGGCGATGGAGGAACGCGCGAGAGGGAGCTTGCACACGGCAGGCTTCTAACTCGACAAGTATCGCAGGGCTCACCTACCGCGAGACTACGACGGAGACATTTCCGTTTGCTCTCCCGACACTGTCGGCATGCTTTGGGGGGCTTCATCCGATTGCAGGATCAGATGAAAGTTCGAGCGTATAGATGCCATTCACACGCTCCATAGTCAATGTTACTGATGGAGACAGGGAGACGCCCTCTATTTAGTTTCTCGGAAATAAACACCTTTCACTGGGTGTTGGCCCGAATACCCCACAAACCAACATGTGGAGGATCCTGTTATGCATCAGTCGACGCCACTGAGGGGAAGCAAGACAGGCATGTTGGTGGAAGTCTTTACTCGTTAATCGATGCTTCGATGTCTGGTGTGCCGGCATATTCCCCTCATTTCTTGCGTGTTTCGCAGATCCCGAGAGGCTAAGAACGAACGAACGCTCGGGTTATAAGCCAATCATCTTTCACAGATTCCGACGGGCGTTCAACACCGCAGATCCATCCTCCTCCCCTTGAGTTGCTCTGCTGTCACTCCGAATCCTGAAATAGCAACCAGGAACACTTTTGTTCTTTTCTCTACATTTTCTCTTTTCTCAATCCATTTCTCTTCTACGTTTCTTGTCTCTAATAACATTCGAAGTACTCATCGAAGAAGACCGAACCGAGACCCCGATACGATGACGTTTCTCGACGCAACACCCCAAGCCGCCGCGAAGATGGCTAACGTTAGTGTGAATATCCCACATCTTGTCCAAACAGATGGATCGAAACAACTTGTGGTGGAGGGCGAGCCTTTTCTCATGAGAGCTGGTGAACTTCAGAATTCTTCACTCTCGTCCCCCGAATACATGGAAACTATATGGAAGAAAATGGCCGATACCAATATCAACACCTTGCTCGGCAGCGTGTCCTGGGAGATGATTGAGCCTGAAGAGGACAAGTTCGACTTCTCGGTGCTCGACGAAGTTATTAGCGCCGCACGGAAGCATTCTATGCACTTGGTATTGCTTTGGTTTGGGTCATTCAAGAATGGCATGCTGCTCTATCTTTCCCCTGTCTTCGAGTGACAAATTGAAAACACAATTGAGACTAACAATCAAAGGTCTTTCTTCATACACACCGGCTTGGGTGAAAATAGATGACAAGAGGTTTCCGCGCGTCAAGCTTCGAAAGGCCGGAGGTCGCCTCGAGACGGGCGACGTTCTTTCAATCTTCAGCGCCGAAAGCCGCAAAGCAGACGCCAAGGCCTTTGGCCGACTAATGGAGCACTTGAGAGAGATTGACGAGTCGCACTCTACTGTTCTGATGGTACAAGTCGAAAACGAGTGCGGTGTACTGGGAGATTCTCGAGACGGTTCAGAGCTCGCAAATAAAGCCTTCCATGAATCTGTCCCAAGGGACCTTGTCCACTTCCTGTCCGCAGAGTGGGATCAACTACACCAAGATATGCGAGAGCAGAACCTGACGCAATTCGATCGTCAAAGTTCACAACTCGATGGAACCGGTGACTGGGAATCTTTGTTTGGAAGCAGTCCCCGGACGGATGAGTTATTCATGGCTTACAACTACGCCCTCTACCTGAATCAAGTTGCCGCGGCCGGAAAGGCAGCGTACTCCATCCCGCTTTACACCAATGTATGGATGAACTACGTTGGTGAAGACTCGGACAATGACTTTCCCGTGGTGGTGGGCGGCGGCGGCCTGCCGGGTGACTATCCCTCTGGAGGCCCCGTGAGCAACGTCTTGGACGTATGGATGCGCTTTGCGCCGAAGCTGGACTTTATCGGACCGGATGTCTATCTCAATGACTACGCCAGTTCTTGCGCCAAGTACAGGCACCGGAATCAGCCTCTCTTCATTCCGGAGCAACGACGAGATGACTACGGAGCGCGCCGCATCTGGATTGCGTACGGTACTTACGGTGCTATGGGGGTTGCCCCTTTTGGTGTGGACACCATCGAGCCAGAGGACAGTCCTTTCACCAAGCACTATGGTCTGTTGAAGTCTGTTTCGCCCATCGTCCTTGAAGCACAACGACACCTGAACACGTCAGTGGGCTTCTGCTTCGACGAATTGCCGGCGGATAACACCGGAAAGGACCCAAGCCCCGTCATCCGTCGTACCTGGGGAGACTTTGAGATCACCATAGAACGGTGCTTCGTGTTTGGAAGGCCAGGAACAGGGGCTGGAATGGTGATACATCGAGGTGGAGGTAGATTCTTGCTCATCGGCTGGGGTTTCCAGGTCAGGGCAAAGGCATTGGGTCAGGGCCGGAGCTTCACCGGCATCCTGAAGTTTGAGGAGAAGATTGTAGGGGACGAAGGGACCGGCCAATTGAAAACGAGTAGGGTTTTGAACGGGGATGAGACGAGGAGCGGCAAGTTCGCGATGATGCCCAACGAGGACCCGGATTATGGCGGCTTTCCGATTTCCGTCACGATCCCAGCCAGGACGATGATTGCTGAGGTCACATTTTACTCGTTGTCTTAACTAGATTTGGGTAGTTGCATGTCACTGGATCAAAGCTTATTGTGAGAAGACTACAGCAAGGTTCTGAAGGGCTAGCATTTACCACGCAAGACCGATCCGACTCTTACGTACTTTGATACCACCATCGAAATGAAAGCTGCGAGCATGAAACCCCCGGCAAAGATCCAAGTACCCTGAAACTCCTTCTGCACATCTAACACTGTATTTCCTTGCGGACGCTGCGCAGCACCTCCGATAGGATTCCCAATTAATGCGCCAAAGCTCGTGATGGTGTATCCCATGCCCATCCTCGTCCCATACTCTGACAAGTCGTCCGTCAAATTCGCAATAGTAGCCGGAGGCAAAGACACCATACCTCCCGAGACGAAGCCGTACACGATTGATATTGCGACCAAACCCGGCAGATCGGTAGCAAAGCGTAAGAGGAAGAGGACGATAGCCGAGCAAAGGCAGCAAGGAAGCATGACGGTCATACCGCCATACTTGTCAGCAAGCCAGTTGGGGGCTAGACGACCCAGGAAACTTGCAGCGTTCATGGCGCTGAGGATGTAAAAGGACGTGTTTTGATCCACACCCAGACGAATGGCATAGGCATCCACGTAGAAGAAGGGGATGTAGACCGAGCCGATCATCAGTGCGAAGGCTGATTGTGTGTTAACCACTGCGGTAAGTCGAAGACCTATTGGAAAGGAGACTGACCAATGCAAAATGACACATAGGGAACATCGCGAAAGTGCTTCAGGCGGAAGAGAGCACCGCGCCGCTTAATATTGGGCCGAAGACGCATGATCGCAATGCAAATCAGGAGGCTTCCGGTGACGATGAATGCGAACACCCGAACAGCCCAAGGAAAGCCGATAGATGCAATCAGGCGTCTCTCCATAATGGGATAGACAATTCCCGCTTGACAACACATCAGTGCCCGTGCCTGCGTAGATATTCGTCTCAGAGTCTGTTCGAAGCTCACCTAGACTGCTTCCCGTAGCAGCAATGCCAGTCGCTATCATCCTCCTCTTGCGGAAGTAGAGAGGAATCACGGCCACACAAGTCAAGCCCAGCAATCCACTGCCGATTCCGACGCATAGCGCCTGCGCGAGGAGAATCTGCCAATACTTCGTGCACAAGCTCAGCATGAATAGACCGAGGGACGTCATGGTAGTGCCGCAAATGAGGATGAAGCGAAGATACCCCGCGTCGAGAAGCCAACCCGCGCAGACGCCGATGAGCATCATGAGAAAGATCTGGATTGAGCCGATCCAAGAGATAGCCGAAGGGTTAACGTCTGGTAAAAGGTCGTTGGAGTAGTAAGCTTGGAAGACTCCGAATGAATTTGTCAAACCCCTTGGATTACGTCAACTTGATTACTGCGGTTTTTGTCTGGACCGGCATAAGCTGGTATGGGGTCATCGTACCAGGTATTGGCAAACAGAATCCAGCTTCCAAGAACTTGAAGCCATGCGACGAGTCCTTGGTCCATTACTAGCTCTTCCTCGTCGACTCGTGCTGTCTCGTCGTCGCTTGTCGGCAATGACGGAAGTTGACTTTTCTCCCCATCATACGCCATCACGATTTGGGAGACTGTTTTGAAGGGAACACTCTGAGTTTCGGTCCTCGACATTTTGGGTCACCAGAGGGAATGGTAAAGTCGGTCTAGGAAGATTGCTTGGTAAGATCTGCCAAATATTGTAATCTCGAGAGCGCTGAGCCGCTCTTAAAGCCAATTGAGTAATTCCAGCCGTCCAGGTTGGCATTCTCAGACCGAACCTATATGTCGCATCCCGTCAGACAAGCGTCGGCTTGCGAAGTCGCTAAACGAGAGCGCCACCTGGTGGATCAAGCGGGAAACGGCCAAAGGTGGGTGTCCACGTTGCGTGAGCTTCTCTCTGACCTTGAACATCAGTCCGATCAATAACGCCGGGATCTTGAATCCAGTTGGAGGACACTCACGGCCCCTCGAAGCCAACATGTCTGGATGGTGTGTGGGTCGAGCCGAAGATGGCGGAAACAGGGTATGAGATTCCTTGACTCCGACGGCTTCTCACTTTGAGCCGAGGCATCATAATCAATGGAAACGAGTTCACCGTATGCTCATTCTGCCTGATCGAGTAATGCGGAATTTATTCGTCAAGTACCTGTGGGTGCCCTGGGCACTCGCATGTTTTATGCTTGTCCGTTGAGGGGCCTTCGGCTTGACTTGACTCACATCGGCTTCGGCTCCGGCTTCACCGCAGCTTGGGGAAGACAGGCGAATGATGGTGGCTACATTTTGAGTTGCATGGAAAGAAACACCTTAGCCAAACACCTAGTGGTGGATGCCAAAATAAGGTTGTGTGGCTTGCCAATTTGTTTCGAGCATCTTCGTTGATGGTTCAGGACTTCAGCGGTGCAAAAGGCAAAAGATGAAGAACCCGAGGAGTGGCTTAGCCAATCGCGGTGAGGATTTGAGCCTCACGCGGGGGTCGAACCCGCAACCTTGAGATTAAGAGTCTCACGCTCTACCGATTGAGCTAGCAAGGCGGGTCTTGTTTGATGACCTTTGTGGTCGGTTCTGGGTCTGAGTCCTTTTCCGCAGCTAATCCGCGTTGTTTTTTCTCTCTCTCTTCTCTTTGCCCCCGTGAAGCTGATCTTGATCTTTCTTTTCTTTTCCTCTCCTGTCGCTCGAGCCGAAATGATTATTCACTTGAGTTTCAGTCACCAGTGTTTCGCGCATCTTCATTTCTTGAGGATGTCTCCAATCACCTCGCGCAGTGTCTCGCTCCCTCTCTGAAGCAAATGTCCCTCCCGCAGATCTCCGGCCACTATCCCTCCAGGCAAGAGACTCCTCGTCATCTCTACGAATAGTTCAGCCGTTGGTGGGCGATACAAATTTGCGAAAAAATTCTCCAGCTGCTCGTTTTCCACCAGAGTTACCTTGACCTTGTTGTATTTGAATGTTAGATCTTCCACCGCTCTATGCACGTCTTTTGTTGAATATGATTTTGGTCCGTATAAGTCGAAGATGTAGGGATTATGTCGCATCGGCGAACTTGTTGCGAGAGCTTCCCTTGCGCATGTCCGACCAACGTCTTTCACCGAGACCTTGAACGCGGATTTTAGAAAAGTGTATCCCACATTTAGAGCGAACTGTCTGGTAAAGCTTACCATGGGTATCTCGTAGTCTAGAGGGCACAACACAGAAGAGAAATGTGGTAGATCATCATTCGCTGTCTTAAGTACTGGTGCCCAATTCTCCATGAAGTAGGCACATCGAACAAAGACCACCTCGGGGGCGGCTCCGATGAGTGCTTGTTCTGCCTCATAATTCGTTTTTATCTCGCCCTACAGTATTCCCTTCAGCCATCTGTTTCCTACAAAGATCCTCTCTTCTCAACTTACCGTCCCATGTTCCAAATGAGCTCCTATGCTAGACACATATACCAGACGCTTTACCGAACACCCGACCCTACTGACAGCAAACTTGACATTTGCGGCCATCTCACGTGCTCTAGTTATCGGCTTGGACTCGGAGTATTGCGGAGGCGTGATGGATACGATGGCGTCGGCACCGGCGAATTTGAGACTCGAAACATCGGCAACGTCGCCCTTGATGGCCCTAAATCGAGGATGGTCATTGAATCTAGCCGGCACCCTTCCCAAGTCTCGATATACACCCGTTACGTGTGGTTGCGAAGGATGATCAAGGAGGGACTGGATAGTCGCCTGCCCAGTCTTGGGGGACGCCGGAACGACAAAGACGTTCATCGTTGCTGGTGATAGGGAGAGACAGCTTCAGCACATCGAATCCGAGCCTACATCGGCCAAACCCATTTGCAGCTGGACTTGTAACTTCGGGGAGCTCCTGATTACTATATAAAGGCCTGCTGCTATGTGACATCACACCACAACGGTCTAGACTCGGGTCCATCGGTCGCCTGCATCTCCTGCATCCCGCCATCACGGTCCTTCCGGTGCGTCAGTGGCTGCAATGTTTCACGGCCGAAAGCTTCCAGAGAACCCCCCATGAGTTCTGCCATGTCAGCTGGGCGTGGAACATGGGGTTTTCGGCCGTTCTAGACCACCCCGCCTCGCAAAATGTCCCGACGCTTGAGCCAGGCGATGTTGAGTTGGGTGGTTGCCTATCTGTCTCTGGACATGCCAGAGGTCATCCGAACTTGTTGGCCTATCACCTCAGAAACCTTAACGGCAACGGTCCAAGCTCCGATCTTGGCTAGGTACCCCTCGAGCTAGTTGAGACCATCCTCGGCCCTTCCCGGAGCGAGCTTCAGCGAGCTTGATCATATCAGTCAAACTATCCCGTAATTGGAGCCGAGGGGAATGTAGACGGCTCTCGGTCTGACTTACCGCATCGCAATATCCTTGCGGTAGAACATGCCCTCGAAATGAACACTTTCAACCCCCTTGTAAGCAGCCGATACTGCTTCCTCGAGGGTTTCACCCGTCGCGGCAACGGACAGGACGCGACCGCCTGCCGTGAATAATTTATCGTTGACCTGATCAGTTCCAGCGTGGAAGATGTGAACACCTAGATATGAATGTAGTCAGCGATGGACTATAGCACAATCCTGCTGGTGCCGACTCACCTTCAGAGGTAGATCCTAGTCGGATAAGATCCCCCTCCCTGTATGATTCTGGATAACCCTCAGCCGCAACAGTAACGTTACAGGCGAAACCTGCAAGTGTTTCCAGCTTGACGTCACCAAGCCTGTTCTCTACACAAGCGAGAATGATTTCAGGTAAGGCCTCGTCTGGAAGGAGAAGCACCATGCTCTGTGTCTCCGGGTCCCCGAAGCGCGCATTGTACTCAAGCACTTTGGGACCTGTGGGCGTCATCATTATCCCCGTGAAGAGCATGCCGTTGAAAGGTCTCCCTGTATCTCTAGATTAGCCTCGTGTGTGCTATCACTATTTTGTTCAAACTTACTTTCTTCTTCAAGGCCAACAATGGTTGGCAGGATGATTTCCTCTTCAATAACGGCCATCTGCTCCTCAGTCACGGAAGG